ATAGATGTTGTTTATCTCTATGTGCTTGTTGATGGCTGCCTTATCTGAATACCAAGCTTCCAAGAATTCCCTTGCATTTTTGGATTTAGCTTGGTCTAAGATGCTGACAGTTTCCCAGCTGAAACTATGGTTAAGTCTGTCCATGTGTTGTGAGATTAAGGAATTTTCATCATGTCTTCTGACTGCTAGTTGGTGTTCATGGATGTGCTCTGCAAGCCTTCTGCCTGTCTGTCCTACATAGTGGTTGTTGCAGTCCTTACACTACGAGATTAAGGAATTTTCATCATGTCTTCTGACTGCTAGTTGGTGTTCATGGATGTGCTCTGCAAGCCTTCTGCCTGTCTGTCCTACATAGTGGTTGTTGCAGTCCTTACACTACGAGATTAAGGAATTTTCATCATGTCTTCTGACTGCTAGTTGGTGTTCATGGATGTGCTCTGCAAGCCTTCTGCCTGTCTGTCCTACATAGTGGTTGTTGCAGTCCTTACACTACATGTTGTATATGACTCCTGTTTTTTCTTCTTGGGCTACTGGATCTTTTGCTTAAGATGTTTTGGAGGGCTTTAGGTGGTTTGTGTGCTACAAACCAACTAAAAGAGCAAACCCCATTCCATTCTAACACTGAAGATGTTACCTAGCCAGGTAATGAAACGTTTGTAAGAAAACAACCAAGCTCAGAGAACCCCAAGGACTCCACAATTAAGAGTTCTTCTGCCAGATGTAGGCACAGTTATGCATCTGACTTCCACAGCATTGCTATAATCTATTCCATTTTCCCTTTCAAAATCCGCATATTTTGCCATCTCCATGAGGTTTTGCATTATTTGAAAGCTCTTCCACTCACTGAGGTTTCTGAATAGCTGCTCCTAAAGGATTAGGAGATCCTTCTGAACAGTATAGATCATGGGGTAGTTAGCTGCAGTAAGGAGGATGTTGGTTAAAAATTGGATGTCTTGTCTGAGGTGAACATAGTATTATCTACAAGCAAAGTATATATTTTGCAAGATATGACTCATTTTATTGAGACAAATTCTGAATATAGGAACTTCAACTGAAAAAGCTTAAGTTGATTTCTTCACAAAAAAAGTTCCATTGTTTCCTTCTCTCTGTGGATCAAATGTTAGATGATGATGATGATGATGATGATGATGATAATAATACATTGGATTTATTCTCCACCCATCTCCCCTCAATGGGGAATTCTGGGCGGCTCACAAAGTACAACTTATTACAAATAATAATAATAATATTATCTCTATCTAACATCTAACATTAACCACTATACTACATAGCTAGTAGCGGTCGCTAGGGAGTCACGGCACATCCGGGCTTTTTCCTCCTCCATAGGTCTTTCTCCTGCCAATCGTGTCGGTTGCATCCAGTGTCAGGTCCAGCACCGGTTTCTGCTCCCTGCACAGCGCTGCCGGTTCCTCCCACTGAAATGGGAGTACCTATTTATCTACTCGCAGATGGAATGCTTTCGAATTGCTAGGTTGGCAGAAGCTGGGGATGAATGATGGGAGCTCACCCCGTCACACTGGGCCGGGGCCGAACTGCTGGAGTGCTGACCATTTCTGACCGGCAAACTCCAGCTTCATTAAGCCCTGTGCCACCTAGATGCATGTAGGGAACAAGAAGATATCTGATTTACCAACAAAATCTCTTTTTCAGACAAATAGCCACAGCTGAGTTATATTATTTTCCTGGTAGCATTGATATCTGTAGTGTAAATATATCTGTAATATAAATACAACTATTACCCTCCTTTATGTTTTAGAAATTCAAAATATTCAAAAGCAATATTCCAAATGTTGTTAATATATATTCAGTAATAAGTACATTATTTGTATAAATGTATATTAGATTTGTGACATAAAGAATGAAAGGTCATAATCTACATATTGCATTTGATCATACCAGTAAATAGTAATATTCAGTCTACCTTAATATATTTCTTTTAAATATATTTTTCTGCTATTTACAGCTCCTAACAAATCACTATGAGCAGTGCTGGAAATATTATTGCTTGTCTTCGGGATGGGGCAATTATGGAATAGCAGCTGAAGAAGAATTACATTTAACTGAAAAACTTTTCTGGGGAATATTTGATTCCCTCTCTCATAAGGTAAGGATAAGACTTCAAATTAAAAGACATTGCTTGAGTGCACATACACCTATAAAAGCTGAGCACAAATGCACTTAGAAAAAAAAATAAAATGTCCTGTTTTATCACATTCACAATCCATAAGAAAATACTGATTTAATAAGAAAATAGATAATAGTACTTTTTCTTTACTCTGTCTGATACATGCCGGGCATTGTTAGACTGGACAACACTTCTCCTTTGCAAACATACAATTTTCTACTTTCCTTATTTTGGCATTTCATGAGAACTGGAAAACAATATTGTGTAACTACACATATGGCTAGAGTAGTACTCTGGATTGACAGGGAAAGCTGACACACCCATGTTTCACTCACCTGCAGTGGGTTGTATCAGGAGAAGAGATGTTGTGCAGTTCAACCTGTTGTAACACATGCTTATTGAGAGGAGTTACAGAAACTCTATTCTGATAATGCTGAAAATATTTGTGAAAAATACTTCTTGCAGGTCCACTCAAATATCAGCTCAGTCCTGATTCTGAAGCTAGGCATATTGGGAAGAAAGTATTCACTCTGAAACTCCTGGGAACAATATTTAGAGAAGTTATAAGTTCCACATAAATGATCAATCTAGGTGCTTCTCCATTTACTATCAGCATCTACTAATGCTGCTTCTATTTGGCTTTTTTGCCTTAACTAACACTTTGCATGTTTTTTTATTGGACTTTCCAACCAGTTCCTATCTCTCCTGCAGAAGTATGATCCAGAGCTCTTCCGAATGGCCTTGCCTTGTTTAAGTGCAATAGCAGGGGCTCTGCCACCAGATTATTTAGACACTCGAATTACCTCAATTTTAGAAAAGCAGACTTCAGTGGATGCTGAAGGAAATTTTGATCCCAAACCTATCAGCACAGTGAAGTGAGTCATAACATCCTTACTTTTTATAGGGATTCTTATTTCGTTCTTATTTAGCTCTGCTAAGAAACATACTGACTCATTAACAGAATGTACGTAACGTATAAGTTCAAAAATATATTGTAAAGTTGTTTCTGTTGTTCCACTGAGTTGTACACATTCTGTTTTTCCACTGAGGCATGTGTATTAACTGATTGGTGGGTGACGACTGTGGTATGAATATAAGTCTAGGGTAAGGTAAAACTATTGTTTGGATTCCAACTCCCATCAGCCCTGCTAGCATGCCCCAGGGCAAAGGTTTGTGGAAATTGTAATTCAAAAGATTTTGAGGACTCTAGATTACCCACCACCTAGCCAATCACTGGGTCAGATAACCCTTTAATCTGGAACGTACTAGTAATTACGAGATGGAGCTAGCATGCCCCAGGGCAAAGGTTTGTGGAAATTGTAATTCAAAAGATTTTGAGGACTCTAGATTACCCACCACCTAGCCAATCACTGGGTCAGATAAC